GACCCACCCGCGACCCACCTTCGACCCAAACCACGTTCAAGGTACAAACCACAATTATCGGCGCCTGCGGCGGGCTTTTTTTGCATTCCTTCCAGGTGGAGAGCCCGCGACCCACCCCGTGACCAACTTGCGACCAACCCGCGACCCAAATCACGTTCAGGGTACAAACAACATTTTTCGGCGCCTGCGGCGGGCATCTTTTGCATTCGTCTCAGGTGGAGAGCCCGCGGCCCACCCGCGACCACGTTCAGGGTACAAACCACATTTTTCGGCGCCTGCGGCGGACATTTTTTTGCATTCGTTCCCGGTGGAGAACCCGCGGCCCACCCGCGACCCAAACCACGCTCAGCGTACAAACCAATTTTTTTGGCGCCTGCGGCGGGCTGCTTTTGCATTCCTTCCAGGTGGAGGTGGAGAGCCCGCGACCCACCCGCGACCCAAACCACGTTCACTGAACAAACCAATGCCGCACAAGCGCGGCGGCAGATTTTTGCATGCCGTCTGAGCCCGCAAGGACCTCTTCAAGCCCCGCGCATCCACACCAGCCCGTCCAGCAACTTTGCCCTGGCGAGTTGCCTTGATCAGAGAAGTCGGGGAGCATAAAGTGGAAAACAGGATTGTGTTGCAGTTATCTTGGGAAAGGAGGGGGAGGCAGGAGGAGTAAACAGGGGACGAGGAGGACGCGGAAGAAGAGAGGATGTAAGGAGAATGTGGAGAAAGAAAAGGAGGAGGAGCAGGAGGACGAGGAGGGGGAGGAGGGGGAGGAGGGGGAGGAGGAGGACGAGGAGGGGGAGGAGGGGGAGGATGATGATGATGGACGACAATTGGAGGACGATGATGGAGGCCGATGAGGGGGAGGACGACAATGGGAGGACGATGATGAAAGGACGAGGGGGGGAGAGGGAGGAAGAGGAAGAAGAGGAGGAGGAGGAGGCCGAGGTGGAGGAGGAGGACGAGGATGAGGACGAGGACGAGGACGAGGAGGAGGAGGAGGGGGAGGAGGAGGAGGAGGAGAGCGCCATCGACAGGGAAGGTGGGGGCCACGAGGTCCGCCGGCTCGACGACGCCCGCGTCGCCCGCGCCCGCCCCCTCACTCTTATCCGCAGTTGCGGGTTGCTACGTATGAATATGGTTGTGTGCGTGTGCTATACATTTATATATACTATATGTACATACAGACATAGATCGTAGTTTATTGGTTTCTCTCTATTTCTCTCTCTCTCTCTGTCTCTTTTCTCGTTGTCATCTCCTTCCCCTCATGCTGCCCCTCCTCACAATATGACCCGACGTTGGCTTCAGCGGATGAGGGCGTAGCCGTCTTCGACTGCCGCTCCTCGTCTGAAGCCACGGGCCGCGTTTATAGTTCGCGACGCGTGCCATCCTGACAGCTCGGAGGGCCCTTCGCAGCCAGGGCAGTGATGCCAACACCGATTCTGGTCCCACCTCCGAGCCCGACTTCGAGTGCGCGGCTAGGGGAGGTTCGTGTCGTGTCGACGCGGCGGCGGCGCCTCCGCGGTCGAGGATGCACGCCGCCACTGGCCTTGGGTCGGCCGAGATCGGACGATCCGCGCCATCGGGGAGCCGCGATGGCCAAGGGCGTCCTCGAGGGCGCGAAGCTATTTGCGCTCCGCGCTTCGCGGTTCGGCTCCGATTTCTCCTCGTCCTCCTCTTCTCCCCGGGGGGGCGGCGCGAGGGCGCGAAGTGGTTCGCGCTTCGCGCAGCGCGAAGTGCGAAGCTGGGTCATGCAGGTCGCCACGATACGATCCCGCCGTCCTGTACCCGCTCCCTCCCTCCGGCGGGCGGGAGACGCTGAATCGGCGGCCAGCCCGGGGGGAAATGAGAGGGGGCGGACCTTCTCGGCAGGCTCGGAAGTCCTCTGGCCTTCTGTGAAGTGTTCTAAGCCTTCCACGAAGACACCGAACACTTATCGGAAGGCGCGAAGGCTTCTGAGAAGCCCCGCCGCCTTCTGAGAATGTCTTATCCTCCTCACTTCCCCCCCTCGCTCGCCGCCGGATGAAGTATTATGTTCTGGCATCGGGGACGCCAGTCCCAAGGCGGCTGGAAACGTCCTTTCAGGACAGCAGTAGATTATATATTATGTGTGAGTGCAGTCGGACCGAGGTATAATATTGAGGCATGTTCTAGAGGGTACCCTAATGTTTTTCGTGTTTGTTGGATGGTCTTGTGCATCTTGGGGAGGGTACCCTTGGCTGGCGGAGGGTCTCATGTTCTCGAGGGATGTTCTTCTGGCCTAGGTCCGATTGTACGTTGCGCCGAGGTCCCCCCCAAGGGTGACAAGTGGCCCATCCCTCCGAGCGGGAGCGGTTCGGGGAGGAGGGGGGCGCCTCCAGGAGGAGGTCGGATCGAGCGTGATCAGATATCATCTGAAGCGCGAGTCTCAGAGATGGCGAGCTATCGAGAGCCGCCCCCCGAAGGGGGGTGCAATCGTCCAGCTGTAGCATTCCGCTGCGTTCTCCCTCCGCGATGTCCTATTTCCCGACCTTGCGGCGGGGCTCCCGTTTGGTATTCCCCCTGGGGTGTCTGCAGGGGTTGTCCCCCCCCGAAAGCTGGCCCATGCCACGGGCGGAACGCCAGCAGAAGCCCGCCGAAGTTCGGCAGGATTCCCCGAGCATTTTCTTTGGTTGGAGGGCAAAGGGTGAAATCTGAAATGCCGTTTTGATGAATGTTCGAGGCTTGAATTTGCAAAAGGTGAATCACAAGACGGATGGATTTTCGCGGTGCAGAAGCCCATATGGATTTCACCCTGAGCCCCCCACCCTAAGAGAAAATGCGCAGATTCCGGCAGACGCGTTTCCGGGCGGCACGGGCGCCCCCAATAGATAGGACCAGGAGTCGCCGATTGCTCGGTCCAGACCGTCCAGACGGCCCCAGAAGCCGGAAGACTCTAATCTCTAATAAGCCTCTGAGAGGGCCTCCGAGAGGGCTCCGAGAGGCAAACTTAGTAGGCTTCCTGGAGGTTTTTCCATGCTTTTCGTGTCTCAGCCTTTTTCGGCTTCCCGACGCCCCAAGACGGCTCATTAGGCTCCACGGATCGCCCCAAGACGGCCGCAGAGGCCTCCGAAAGTGCGCCCCGACGGCCCAAGAGGGCCCCAGGACAGCCCCAAGAAGAGCCCCAGAGGCGGAGCACGGAGCGACTGTTCCACCCGCAGAGGCCCCCAGGAGGCCCCCAGGAGGCCCCCAGGAGGCCCCCTAACAAGAGGCCCCAAGACTGCCCAAGAGGGCGTCAGGCTGGCTGGGCACGCCACGACAAAGCTGGAGACGCCAACACGGGAACCAACATCATGCGCCCGCACGCCGTTTCGGCCGGCAGTGGGACCCAAGCGGCGAGCTGTCCTGTCATCCTCGTCACCCGCTTCCATGCTCGAGGTCTTCATCGCCGTCCCTACCGCCAGCCTCCTCCCAACGCCCTTCCTCCGTCTCCCCTCCTTCCTCCTTCCTTCTCTTCGCTCCCGAGAGACTCCCACAACGGCCCAAGAAGCCTCCAATAAGCCCCAAGGAGGCATCTCCGAAGTCACCGTCGCCGTCGTCGCTCTCTTGAAGGAATCCCCACTAATTTACCCTTCTCCTCTGCCCACCCTTCTGCCCCTCCCCCCCTCGTGTTTCTACTCTCCTCCATCGTCTCGCTTCCGAGCTGTCTCGGTCCTTCTCGGTCCTTCTCCCACTGTTTCCTGCACCTCCTCAGGAAGCCCAGAACAGGCCTCCAGTGAGAAGCGACAACACGGGAACCGCACTGGGCCGCCCTGCTAGCGTCCCCTTCCGTACGTATGAGTTTCACCAGTCTTGCCTGCGTGCGCTCAGCGGTCGAGAGAACTCGTGACCGCCCTTTCGCCCGTTAAAGGGTCCCAAGACGGCCCAACAGAGCCGGAAGAATCAAGAGCCCTACTATTCCGCCCAAGCACGGCCGACAAGTTTATGACGGCCGTGGAAAAAGGCACCCCAGGGCCGATAAGGCAACCCAGAGCCACCACCAGCACGGCCTCCGAAGGTGCCAGACGGCCGGGGAGCATCCAGAGGCCCAGGAGCTTTGAAGACACCCCGAGAACACCACCGGACGCCCACAAGAGGCCCCTGGCACCCGAAACGCTTCCAGGGGCCAGACGGCGGGAGAGAACCCAGAGGCGGACCAGGAGCTTTGAAGACACGAACATCCCCAGACGCCCACGAGAGGTCCCTGAATGCACCCGAAAAACTTCCCAGGTGCGCCTCAGAGGACCCAGCGAAACCCTACAGCGCGCATGCTCTGCGCGTCCTGAACGCACATCCCGCGAGGCGACTGGAGCCCCAACGGGTCCCCCACAGCGCACGAGCTTCCACGACGCTCCGAAAAGCTCCCAGGAAGAACATGAGTCGAACACAATAATTATCGCATGTTTCTTCGTCGGAACTCTTCCCCGTCGTCAACTCGAGCCAAGAGGCAGGCCCTTCATTGCCCCTGCCACTCTCACATATCATCCCTACCTGCAATGCAAGGTCGGGGTACGTGGCAACATCACGTTTCAACGCGCGGTCCATTGAAGTCCCGACCCTTTCCTCGAGGCCAGATTTTCACTCCGAGCCGATTGTTGACGGCCCTGGGGCACGGCAAGGGCCCCCCCAAAGAGCCGAAAACGGCCAAAAACTTCACGCCGTGATTTGCACACGGCGCGAGAGCTCACTGGAGGGAAGGGAGAGGAAGCACGTGCCCCCAGTGAGCGATCGCCGAAGGCTCACGTTTTTTTTTTTGGGGGGGGGGGGGGGTCGCGGAAAAGGTATTTGTTTTTGCACGGCGCGGGCCCGTCTGGGCTGCAGCCCTGCCCCCTCCCTCATCGGAGGGCACCAACTATACACCAACACCGATCCTGGCCCAGGATCACCCTGGGCCCAGGATCGGTGTATATGCCTTCTTGCGCAAGGCAGGAGGGCGTATACACCGATCCTGGACCCAGGGTGATCCTGGCCAGGATCGGTGTTGGTGTATAGTTGGTGCCTGCCTCCCTCAGGCCCGGCTCCGCGAGGGCACCCAGGCGCTCGAGAGGTGCCGCGGGGACCTGGCGCGTCAGCGGGAGCGGCTGTCGGAGAGCAGGCGGGCGGAGCAGGCCGCGAGGCCACAGGCGCGGCGGGCGGCACGTCGTCGTCGTCGTCGTCGTCGCCGTCGTCGTCGTCGTCGTCGTCGTCGTCGTCGTCGCCGCCGTCGTCGTCGTCGTCGCCGCCGCTGGCAGCCTGCGGCGGGGCGACGGCGGCGGCAGCCGGCAGCGGCAGCAGCAGCAGTGGCGCGGCAGCCGGTAGCGGCGCGGCGGCAGCGGTGGGCGTGGCCCGGCGGACAACCTCCGCCTGGCCGCAGGGCTCTTAGCATCGCTCGGACGTGTGCATCTTTGTTCGGCGAGGACCATCGAGGAACGTCTTGGATAATCTCGCGAACAACAGGCGCGCGAAGCAGAAGCGTGCACGGGGAAAGGGCGCCCGAGCGATGGCAAGACACGCCATAAACATAAACAAACTTCTGGCGCTCCGCGCGGGTGTCTTGGATCCGCGCTGCGCCCCCCCGGCAGCGCCTCCAGCGCCGCCCCTGGCGCGCTCCGCGCGCCAGGGAGGGGGGGTCACCGCCGATCCACGCAGTCCGCGCGGACCGCCGAAGATGACGTGTACAGTTTGCAGTGGAAGCCCATGCCAAGAAGCACCCTGCTTGCCTCCAGGGTGCCCTGGGTTCCTCGGCTTTCGATGGTCTTGCGATGGAGAGCGTGTTGCGCTCCCACAACAAACATCCATGGACGTCCTGGGGTCTCAGGGTTGGGTTTCCTGTGGAAGGTTCCTTGTGGTCGAGTTCCTGCTGCATGCAGCTGCTTCTTCCTCCAGCCTCCAGCCGGGCCGCCCGGCTGCGGTCTCGCGGTTTCTCCCGGGGGTCGGGCTTCGGCCTCGCTGTCGGTTCGGCCCCCTCTTCCGCGGTGCTGCCGTGTGCGGCCTTGTGAATAGCTAGAAGGATCGCGGAGGCTGTTTTTCAGAGCCCCGAATCATCAGAGGTAATTCGTGTCAGGGCTAACTCGGGTTCCTTTCTCGGGATTCCGAACCCGAGTTGCCCCGGGCCCGAGTCACCCCGGGTGATGCGGGCGTATCCAGAGCCCCAAATCATCCGGGGCAACTCGGGTCAGGGCCAACTCGGGTTCGCCTTCCGGGAATCCACACCCGAGCTGCCCTGGACCCGAGCTACCCCGCGCAACTCGGGCGCCTCAGTTCTGTGCCTCTGGCTCCTGCCGGCGGGCGTGCGCAGCAGCTCGCTCGCGCAGGGCGTGCGCATCGGCGCTGCGGTACTGGACGCCGCGAGGCGAGGGCGCAGCGCGGCAGGGGCCCGCGGGGGGCTCTTTGCCAGTGCCCGGGCCGAGGAGCCCCTCCCGTCCGGCGCCCGCGGTCGCCGCAGAGGGGTCCGCGGCACTGCAGCGGGTGCCCACCAGCGGGTGCTCGCTGGAAAGTGGCCGCACGCTGCCCCGCTGGCTGCCGCTCTCCGGCCTGCCGGGCCTCGCCCGCGCTGCGGCTGCTGGCCCGTGCACCGCGACGCCGACCCGCAGCTGCTGCCGGGTTGGCCCCTCGGCCACGCCGGTCCCACGCGCCCGCCGCAGCCTCGCCGCGTGAGCGCGCCCCCGCGCGGGCTCGCCCTTCCCTCCGCCTGCGGCCGCCTCCTCCTCCTCCTCCCCTTCCTATAGGGGGTCTCCCGAGCGAAGTGAACCCCACCCTCCCCCTCAAAGATCGTGGGGGGTAGGGGTAGGGTTCGCATGGGGCTCCCCACTCGCCCTTCCCTCCCCCTGCGGCCTCCTCCTCCTCCTCCTCCTCCTCCTCCTCTCCTCCCGCGGGAGTGACCCTTGAGGAGGCTGCCATTTGAGGCCACCTAGATCCAACTTTTTGGCTGTGCGTGATATGTAGCACTTTCATGGATCCTATGGTTACTGCTTGCTTGCTTGCTCCTCCTCTCCTTCCCCCTCTCTTCCATGCGGGCCGATTTGCGCCTCCGCGCCCCGGTTTCGCTCGGGCGCGTGTGTGCGGGCTGCCTCTGCCGCGCTGACGACGGAAAAAGTGTTTGTGTGTGTGTGTATCCGGAGGGAAAGAACACACAGACACAAGTAATCAGAGCCCCGAATCATCAGGGGTAACTCGGGTCAGGGTTAACTCGGGTTCGTGTTTCGGGAATCCGAACCCGAGTTACCCCGGACCCGAGTTACCCCGGACAACTCGGGCGTCCAGAGCCCCACATCATCAGGGGTAACTCGGGTCAGGGCTAACTCGGGTTCCTTTTTCGGGAATCCAAACCCGAGTTACCCCGGACCCGAGTTACCCCGGATAATTCGGGCGCCTAAAGTAATCCTCGACGCCCCAGAAATGGGAAAATATGGGAAGTGGGGGGGAAGACAAAAAGCCAGCAACTGTGGGAAAATATGGGGAATCCTATTATTCGTGTCTATTTATTTGCGTGTCCCAGGGCCCCTTCAGTGTCTCTGGGCCCCTTCAGTGTCTCTGGGCCCCATTCAGAGAATACTCGCGGTGGCGGCAGCAGGGGGAGGGGATGGCGGTGTGGCCTTTGCACGAGGGGAGGAGATGACGAAGACGAGAATCAGCATGCGCACGAAGCAGCGGTCAAACGAGACGCATCGGCACACAAATATCAGCCACCCGCTGAGGGGGGCAGGGGGGAAGGGGGGAGGGCTTCTCAGAAGAGTCCCTGCTTCTCAGAAGGCGCGGGCCGCATCTGTCGATGCAGGGCCGGCGCCTTCTGAGAAGCAGCCTGCTTCTGAGAAGCCCTCCCCCCTCCCCCCATCCCCCTTGTGCGCGCCGACGAAGTATACACTTCCAGAGGTCCGCGCGGAGCTTCTGCATCGGCTCTGCAGCCCCCCCCCCCTAGAGGGGGCCTCGGGCGCCGTGCCTGGCGCGCTCCGCTCGCCGGGGAGGGAGGATTGCGAGGAGGGGAGGAGGAAGGAGAGGAGGAGGGAGAGGAGGGAAGGAGAGGAGGAGGAGAGGAGGAGGAGGAGAGGAGGACTCCTCCTCCTCCTCTCCTTCCTCCTCCTCTCCCTCCCTCCTCCTCCTCTCCTTCCTCCTCTCCTTCCTCCTCCTTCCTCCTCGAACAGCGTGCAGACGCACGAAAGGTTGTGTCTACTTTTGTGCTGCTCCGTTGGGGAGAGAGAAGCAGTGTGGGGAGGGTGTTGTTCAGGAGGGGCAACCCAGACACCATGACTCGTCGATTCCCAGGAACATGTGCGGAAATATGGGAAGTGTGGGGGGGGGAAGACAGAAACCCAGGAGATATTTGAAAATATTGGGAATCCTGGGATTTGTACCTATTTATTTGTGTGTCCCAGGGCTCCTTTAGTTGTGAGGGTCTTTTGGAGAAAGCGAGCGCCAGAGGTGTCCCTGGCCCAGGGTGCCCCCAGGATTTCCGAGGAGGCCCCTGCAGCCTCTGGAGCACCCCTCACGCCCGGTCCGACTCCGGCCATCTTTCCGACTCCTGCAGCGTCCTTCCCTCCGACTCCGGTCGGGGCCCCCCAAACGGGGTGGGATGTCTCGTGCGTTGACGGACCGTGCGGTGAGGTCTCTTGGGGATCTGGGGTCACCGCACGGTCTGTCACCGCACCGTTTCGGGACTCTCCGACTCCAGCTTCCTTTTCTGCAGCTCTGGCTTCCATATCCGAGGCCCGAAAAGCATCACGTCACTAATATTTTGGGCCCCAGGGCCCACTGAGGCCCCAGATTAGTGAAGTGATGCTTTTTCCCACGTAAGGACCCCGAACTTCATCACTTCACTAAACCGAACCCAGGACGAAAGTCAGGGGCCGAATTGCTGCTGTGATGCCACATAGGTCTCGTACCATGTCTCCGGCTACGGCTTCCGCCGGCTCCGGCCCCAACTCCTGCGGCCACAACACGTCTCCCGAGGGCTCTGGACCCCCCGCGCTGCCCTCTCAGGGCCGGTCCCGCCGGACCGACATCGCGCGCTCGCCTCGCCTCGCCTCGCGCTCGCCTCGCGAGGCCAGAGGGCCCCTGGGGCTTCAGGATGGAGCGAGAAGCCGGGGACACCCTGGGCTGGGGACAGCAGCCTTTCAGAGAGGGATGGGGAGGGGGAGAGGACAGGGACCGGAGGACTGGGGCATCCCTGCACAACGCTCGAGATGGGGATGGACTGGGGCCGGCGCCGCAGGGATCCCGGCACGCACGCATCGAGACGTGCACACAGTTTTTCTTCGCCATTAAGGACGTGGCACTGCTGCATGGCGATCATGAGCCCCGTGAAGCCCACGTCGTGGAGCCCCGACGGTAAGGCTCCAGACGCCAGCAGTCCGTCCACCAGGCCTGCATGCCTCTTCATGCACAGGGTGAAGAGCCCTAGGCCTCCCAGGTGGGGTCGGAGTTGATGGGGTTGGGGGATCGCGCCGCATCGCTGATGCATCGGCGATGCGGCTCCATGCGGAGCCCGATATTCCCCGCGCCGACGTTGCCGATGCACCGCCGACGTCGCCGATGCATCGGCGATGCATCGCCGATGCATCGCCGATGTCTTACCGTTGCATCGGCGATGTGGTGCAATCCTCCGACCCCATCTGCTCGGACCGCATCTTGGAGGCCTCTGAGAGCATTGGGTCCTTGTCCTCGTCCACCGAATTTGGATCGGCGGCGAAATGCGAACCCTGCCCTCGCCGATCAACGATTCAGGCAACTCGATGGGCGGCGGGGGTAGGGCTCGGAACTCGTCGCACACGTGGCGAAGCCCGAACCCTGTCCCCGCCTCCCATCGATTCAGGGGAGTCGATGGTTGGCGGGGGTCGGGCTCGGGTGTCGCCACCCCCAGACCCCCGACGTCATGAGTTGGTCGTGACGTCGACCCCAAGAGGTCTCGACCCCTTCCCCAGGACCGCGTTGGCATCCTGCGTCGTTTTGTTGACGGATGGCCCCCCATGCCGTAGAGAAAACCCTCCCGCCGGGATGTTTTCATGGCTCGAGGGGCCGGGGCCTGTTGGAGGAGCCGCAGCGAGGGGGGGGGAGACCGGCGGCCGCGGGGACCCCCCCCCACGTGCGGGCCCCCCGCGCACACTGGCCCAGGCGCAGCGGCTCCGGGAGGATCTGGGGCGCCTGCAGGAGGAGCAGGGCCGGCTGGAGGACGCCCTCCTCTCCTCTTCCTCCTCCTCCTCCTCCTCCTCCTCCTCCCCCATCCTCCTCCTCCTCCTCCTCGTTCCTCCTCCTCCTCCTCCTCCTCCTCCTCGGTCCTCCTCGTTCCTCCTCCTCCTCCTCCTCCTCCTCCTCCTCCTCCTCCTCCTCCGCGGCGGGGCGCGTCGGGGATCAAGAGACGGGGGTCAATGCAAACGGGGGTCAGCCAGAGCGCCCGATCTTGCAGGATCATGCAGGGCCAGGGTCGGATTGACCCCGGTTTGGGTGCAGGAGCCTGCAGGATCTTGCAGGATCCTCCGCATCGACCTGGGTTTGGGTGCAGGCTCTTGCAGGATCTTGCAGGATTCTGCAAGGCCTGACTGACTTGTGTCTGGATTGACCCGGGTCAGAAGATCCCCGAGGAGGTTCGGATGTGTTCCTGCGGCGTTGGCGCGCCGGCGACGCTTGCGAAGGCGTCCAGGGTTGAGTTCCGCATGGCAGAACGACGCGGAGGCACTGACGGGCACGGCAGCGCCACATGAGCCGACGGAGTTCAGCCTCGAACGAGCGGGGCCGCGATCGGTTGAAGGTTGAACGATCGACGCGATCGGTTGAAGGTTGAACGATCGACACGGTGTCAAAAACCTTTCGCGCCGACGCCGCACGAACCTACCGTTAGGCAGGACCCCGGGGAAGGGGAGCTGGTCAGCGATCCCAGACCCCCTCGAGTCATGAAAAGATCACGACGGGAGTTTTTCCGTATGTTCGGCCTTTGAGGCCCCTTACCGGGCCTCGGGATTGCCAAAAAACCACTGGGGATGAAAAACAGGTCCCGGGGAAGATGTCCAGACCTTTGGGACCCGAAATCATGACGTCGTGGGTCTGGAGTTGGGCCCCGAAGCCAAGACAATTGACCCGAATCGCTAAACAAAGTCTGCCGTAGCTGGCGTCTCTTCAGGTGAGCGGCGGAAGAAAAAGGGGTCGTTTGCGCCGACATTCGCGCGTGAGCTGCCCGCGTAAAGTTCGCGCGTGAGCGCCCCCGTTGTCCACGTGGCGTGCCGCGCTGGCGGCCCGCGTAAGCCACCGCGTAAGCTCGCTGTGCCATCTCGCGTGCGACCAGTCTGTGATCGTCGCCCACCTCGGCATACAACTCCACCTCCGCAGGTCCGCACGGCCTTCTTAGATCGGCTCTGCCCCCCCCCTTCGAGGCGCCTCGGGCGCCGTGCCCGGCGCGTTCCGCTCGCCGGGGGGGGGAAGGGGGGCTCAGACGCCGGACGCAAGGAAATCAACGGCCATACGCACGAAAGGCTGTGTCTACTTCTGCTCCTCCGTGTCTCGAACGAAGCAAGGCGGTGGTGGTGGTGGTGGTGGTGGTGGTGGTGGTGGTGGTGGTGGTGGTGGTGGACGTGGTGGTGGTGGTGGTGGTGGTGGTGGTGGTGGTGGTGGTGGTGGTGGTGGTGGTGGTGGGGGCATCGGGAGGAGGGCGGTGGTGGTGGCGGTGGTGGTGGTGGTGGTGGGCGTCAGTGGTGCCCCTGGCCCAAGATGCCCCCAGGATTTCCCCCCGCAGCCGTTGGCGGAGCGAGGCGGGGCCGGCCTCCCCCCCCCCCAGCGCACAGCACGACGCCAGGCCCGGCCAGGCCCAGTCCCGCCAGCGCCTGGGGGCTCTCCTGCTCGGGTGCTGCTAGAAGAAGTGTCCCTGGTCCAGGGTGCCCCCAGGATGCCCAAGGAGGCCCCCACGGCCTCCTCCTCCTCCTCCTCGTCCTCCTCCCCCTCCTCCCCCTCCTCGTCCCCCCTCCTCCCCCTCCTCCTCCTCCTCCCCCTCCTCTCCAAAATGGAGCGAAAAGCTGGGGACACCTTGGGCCACGGGCCCCCTCAGCAACCCCCGACCTGCTGGGATTGGTTGGTCGGGCTCAGACCTGCCCAAGCTCAGAGGAGGAACAGGCACCGACACCGCTGCTCGTTCTAGAGGGCTCTCGCCGCCGCGGCTGGATCCTCTCCGAACTCCCTCCAGAATGCGCCCCTTGGAGAGGTGCGTCGCGAACAAAAAAGCCACGGCGGGATGTGTTTCACCCATTTCCCTCCTTCCTCTCGGCCTCCCCCCTCCCTCCTTGCACGCCGGCCCATTCGCTGGCTGGTGGCCCCCCTACCTAGCTGTTGTGCCGGTGCAGATTCCGCCGCCTCGCCGCCTACGAACAAAAAGCTTCACCGAGTTCGGCCCTCCAGGGGCCCCCACTGGGCCGTGGGGTTGCTTCTCGGGCAGGCAGGGGCGGGGAGCGAAGGAGGGCGGGGGAGGAGGGGGAGAAGGAGGAGGAGGAGGAGGAGGAGGAGGAGGAGGAGGAGGAGGAGGAGGAGGGAGGAGCCCACTGCTAGGGGGAGAAGTGAAGCAAGCCGTCAAAATCTCGCTCGAGAGGTGCGGCGCGAAGAGCAGACGCGGCGGGAGGCGTCTCGCCAGCTTCGGCCTCCCGGGGCCCTCGCTGGGCCGTGGGACCGTCCAGAGCGGCTCCCTGCGGAAGGCCGCCGCCGGGGGCGAGGTCGATGCAGCCTCGGGGGGCCTCCTGCGGGGGGCCTGCCCGGGTCCGGCAGGTCGGTCGGCCTCCGCAGCCTCTCGGCTCGAGCCGTTTGGGCCAGAATCACGTCGGGCCTGTCCCTCTCCAGGGGGGGATGTTGCAAGATAGGCAAACAATAGTCTGGTGACGATTTTTTAAACAATGTTTGAGTGTTTCTCTAATGTTATTTGAATATTTTTACTGTTCGTCCAAAATCCGCCTGTAGGAGGACACGCCCGACATAAGGCTAGAATCAGGGAAACGTAAGACTCGAGTAAGCCAGAACTCGGGTTTGCCGACATTTTTTTTTGACGAGCGCGTCTTGGATTTTGGCGGTCCCGTTTTCGTGGGAGGTCTGCAGCGGGAGCCCGCGTCACATTTCAGGTTGGGTCTTGTCATTTTTATCGTACCCGAGTCTGACGTCTCCCCGATAGAACAGTTCGGGCCCAATATTTTAGCTGCCAAAGGCGGCCGTTTCAGTCGAAGAATTTTCCAGATGCAGTTCAGATGGTGGTGCTGGTTGCTTGGGCTGTCGTTGGTTTGGCCAGCACGTTCGGCAGCTGCGTCGGCTGATGCGCGCGACTTGCGGCGGGCTCGCACTCGCGTTCCTGGCAGCAAGTATCGTGGGAGCACCCCTTCTGCAGTTGCGGCACGGTTGAACGAACATCTGTTGCGCGTGCCTTCCTTACGTGCCCGCAGTTGCTCGACTTTCAATGCGACTCAACTGCGGCATGTTTTGGAGCGCATGCATGTCTCGTCAGATCAGGATCTGCTCTCAATCTACAGGCAGGCGAATGATCCACGTGCGCAGAGCAGTGCATCGATTTCAGAGCTCCGCTCTGAGTGGGCGACCGTGGACTCCCATGCAGAACGCGACCCTTCCACTCTCCGGCCTGTTGTGAGAGACGGTCTATGTCACACAGCCGTCATGTGGTTTGTGCACCACCTTGCCGCTCCTGCGCGCCACTCTTTTGCCGTGGATCCAACCTTTGAACTGCCGTTACTGCCGCCGCACATCCACGCAAATCCAGAGTCAAAGACATGGGACGACTCTCGGGCAGCAGTCTTCGAGGTTTACAACAAGCAGGTCAGTTGCCAGCAATGCCACAGTGGTGCGGAGGACGAAGATGCAGCATTGCCGCTTCCCTCGCCTCCAGACAGGGAGAGGCCAGGGCTCGAACGGTTGCGGAGTTGCGATTTCCAGTATTCTCCGTCTTGCGGTCCTTGCGAAGGGCTTGGGGGTCCTCGAACTGGCGACGGCAACCACGAGTTTGACCCCGTTCCTTGTGAGGTTGTTTCTTTCCCAGGCGATGTCAATGCGTCCGAGCGAGTACCAGCTGCCTACCCCATGAAGGCAACGGCCCACATGGTTGGCGAAGTGCGCGTCCCACTGGTGTTGATTCCTGATGGCCACGGAGATTACCCTGCTGAAGATATTAATGTGAGCTTCGGCTGGGATGGCCAAGTCGCCCGCATGCGTTACAGCTTCAACAAGCCCGAGAGGTTCAAAGGTTCGACTCAAACTTATTTGCAAACCTTCGAGCAGATAAGCAGTGGGAGCACCGGCGCCACGATCTCAGTGTCGAATTCTGGCACATGCACTTGCGACAAATCAGTGGCTGGCGTGTTGCATATTCGAGCTTTCCTTCCGCATGATAAGCTCGACATCATCGATTTGCCAGCTTCGCAGGGAGGTTTAGAATATCTTGGGCGAGTTCGCTTGAATCCGCTTGATGATGGTATCGGAAAGCGTGTGGTTGTCGCCGATCACTACTTGAAGTATGGTTTTCATATTCTTGTTGATGCGGAGAAGGGCAGTCCAACATATGGTCTTCCGTTGCGAACCTATATTCCTTGGGGCGTGCGTCAAGTGTTTACAGGTTGGGATTTGAAGGACCCCGCCGCTTCAGACTCAACAATTTGGGACATCCCGAAAGGGTGTACACTGAATGATGCAAGTTGCGACGCCTTTGTAAAGCAGAGTGAGCTTGTGACTCTAATCTAAGCATTTGCGATCATCAGGCCTACATCTAGTCTGGTACGAGGTTCTGCACGGTCATCGTCGTGCTGTCCACCGCGAGCAGTTCTCCGCTCTACCCCTTGCAAACAAGAACGTAGCATATGTAGTAGCAGTTCCAATCATGATGCTGCCCAGCATCTGAGCTGACACTTTTGCATATTTCCATCAGCTATTTTAGGCTCATGTCGTCTGTATTTGCTAGGCGCGCCCAGCGAGATTCACTGAGCCTCGGAGCTCCTTTTATCGAAGATGCCTACGGCGAATCACCGCCGCCCCCTGCCCTTGTGGAAGCGCCTCTGTGTCCGACAGCTGGGCTAGAGCTTGGCCAAGCTATCGGACCATGTGTTCCCCGAGTCGGTTTGGAAAGGTTCCGGGGAACGCGGGGGGGAGGAAGGGGAGGAGGAGGAGAAGGAGGAAAAAGGAGAAGGGGGAGGATGCCTCTTCGG